CGTTAACTTAAAAAAAGCTGCAACCAACTAACACAGAAATAAACCAGACATTGAAGACCCAATGCTCGAAGTAAAACGGTTGTAGCTTTTTTGCTACACATTTTCCAACATTTTTTGAAAATTTTATGCACATCAAGTGACAACCCTAAACAGGATATAAAAAGTAACCAATCACCGTTGAGTACAAAATTACACATGTAATTTGTTTGTCTGCTCCAATGTTTTATGTGCGATATTATCACGCCATTGCCTTTACTACGGAAATATGAACAATTTCAGAATTAATATCACCCATCTTCATCTGGCCTTCACAGATGGTATACTGTTTCACAACGAAATGTATTCATGTTTCGTACAATTATTATGAGATGTATTTCAGAACGAAGGTAAACATTTTTGTTTAAATTAAATGCTGATCTAATTTTAGCTTGGGAGAGCCATGAGTCGTCACGAAAGAGCAAGGCTCGACCGGAGTGATACCACGGCCTTACAGAAAACCGGTGTTAAGCAGTTAGGAGGTGAGGTTACCCAAACCCCTCCTCTCCTGATTCTAGGGCAGGACTCAAAGGCCAATGCTTTTTTGAATCTTGAGTTGGTTGTTATTTACACCCGTCTGCTCGTTTGCTCTCCTATATCATAAAAAAAAAGCTCAATAATTGATCAAGTATGCATAATAAACTTAAAGTATGATAACAGCTTTTTGTAGCATTTAAAAGAGCCGACAAACATGATTAGGTTAATACCCCAATAAAACAAAAATAAAAGATCATAAAGCCTTCTCGGCAAAGGTACGCATTGCGTTAGTATGATGTCATGTGGGGATAAAAACCTTTTTTAATGAGATCTGATGTTAATATACTTATTTTCGAAACAATTACAATTGTAGCGTGGATGCTCGGCTAGGCAATTTTATTTTTTTCTTCTTGAGTTGCAGAAAGTATACTAGATATACGGTGAGAGAATTGATAGTCTGGTGGCGACTAGATCCTAAACGATGTGAATATGTTCTACGTGCCCAACTCATACTGGAACTCTGACAGTCAACAGATGAAAACAATGACTCTTAGTAACTACTGGAAAACATCGTTAACAAAAATCACTTAAAGCTTTTCGGGTTTTACTGTGTCTGTGAATTGTACGGAAACCAGGAACAGTATATAGCCTGATAAGCAACAGAAAGAAGAAAAAAAGAAGAATATCCTTAGGAAATATCATCAAAATATTCATAAATACAGGTGATAATGGGAGCTTTACATTCGAGCGACAATGGGAGGCAAAGAAGCAAGTACTTTAGTAGATCTGTCCGCAAGAAATGTTGCCAGGATATTTCCAGGGATGTCAACTAACATTATTTATGAATTCGATATCAATGGAAACTTGGGTACTACTATTACCGGAAATCATTCAAAACAGAAATCCTAATCGACTGTAAACAATCCTTTGTTACCAATGTTAATTACCTCTTGATTAGATTCTCACGACTTTCATTCATTTTGCATTCACAAAATTGAAAATAATTGTAAAAAATGTAACCTCTTATCGTTCATTCATAAAAGTGTTATTATTATGAAAATGCATCGCTTCAACTGTAAAGAATGGGTCGTTATGATATCCGTATCGACAACTCGTTTGACAACTCTTTTTATATTATTTGTGCTTGTAGTTACGTGATAAGGTTGTGCAGAATTGAAATTCAAATCCAAGACGAACTGCAAAGCTGACTGCCGGGATGTAGTGGTCGGCTCGCTGCTTCCTACTGCGCTAAGTGTTGTAGGTTCTATCCACACATGGGCCAACACTTTATGTGATTAACTTTGGAATTATATCTGGTCACACAATTCAAATGAGTATGTATGTACTCATACACATACCTACAAATACCTGCGTCGTTAACATCTTTTCAACTTATTTTCAACACAATACATACTGTCATTTTTATTTATTCTGTAGAACTTAAGTAGTTTAAGCTGTCTGATATCGTATGAATGTGGTTTTAAAATGTTACAATTATAAGTAATTAATTTTTCATGTTAAAATTCCCGCTAAAGTCTAAAAATGGTGTGCATGAACATTTAATGTTTGATTTGGTCTGGGTATTTCTATGTATAATAAGTATGTATGTATTTACAAAAAAAAAGTATATATGTATTTATATCAGTTGTCTAGTACCCATAGTACAAGCTCTGCTTAGTTTGGGGCTAGATGGCGTTGTGTGAATGTGGTAGAATATTATAAGTATTATTATTTCGATTTCAACCGAAACTTAAAATTCTCTGTCAAGGAACTTGAGATTTCAAATAATTTCTAACTGCCTATGAATCCGAATAAAAAATTGTAATAAAGAACGGGCAACAACACTCTATTTTCAAACGCTATGCAAAAAAAGTCAATAACAATGTAAATAAATTAGAACAATAAAATAAACACGTTCTGCTTGACATAATTAATTATTTTGATTATATTTAATATTTTTGCATGCCACTGTACTGGTCAAAATAATTGTATCTTGAATAATCCACCATTAGACACAATATTTTTGCAAATATACATATATGATCCTGATTCTGATATTTTACTAGCGAATCATTTGAAAGTAACAAATAATTCTACTTTACCTCCTGACTCCACACGCAAAGACGTTTGATTTTGATTAGACAATAAGCATGAAATAGACTTCAAATATATGCGTAGGTGTCCCACGCATGTCTAGTATTGATTCCAGTATCTTGCATGACATGTCTGATATTAAAATTAATTTAAAATTATATTCTTTTCATTGTCTTTTATGGTAGAGGGGATAACCGAGCAGACCGGTCACGTGATCACTACAACTGCAGTCGAACACCTGCAACTGAAGAGACAAGTGAATTGCCGCCGTTTGAGTGCTAGCCACCCCAAAAAAATAATGTATTTTTTGAGATGAGAAAAAAACCATTGAACTCGCGACACTGTTACCGTTAACGACACCTCTGTATATAAGTGTCTACATATATTGGTCCCGTTTACACGAGAGTTTGGGTGGAAATACACTCATAATATAACTATATATAATATAAACACATATTGTGTATATACGTACTACATAGATATATATTTATATCGCAACTTTTTGAATCGAAAAAACAACAAGTTTTCCTGTGACCATAAAAAAAATATTAAATTTTCAAGTTTTTCCATCATCCATACAAATGGCGTAGTGGTTCATGTAACGGATTGCTATTCCAAGGGTCGCCGGTTCGATTCCTGTTAAAGTCAAACATTTGTGTGCATAAACATTTAATGTTTGAATTGTTTTCGGTTTTTCTATGTCGAATATGTATGTATTTACAAATACACAAGCTCTTCTTAGTTTGGGACTAGATGGCTTTTGTGTGAATGTGGTACAATATTATTATATGTATTTAAAAACTTATTTTACGGATAAGCGCTACAAAAAAGAATGCATAACACGATTAAAAAACACGGAGTTAACGACCTCGTAATTTGAAACGCAAATTGTAGTTTGCAATCGGAATCATAAAGACATGATCTGTCTGCCACAGTTCAGTGCTCTGTGGGGCTCTTAAAAGGGTAACCCTCGTGACGTCACGGATGGCGCAGTGGTAGAAGTGGCGATACACCATACAGAGTGTTGTGAGGACTTACATTGACATGATCTAGAAATAGTTGTCTCACATCGTGGTGTTCTTTTGACTGTTGTGTGAAAGCTGGCTATCCCTTATAATACGCGAGTCATGTCCACTACAGGTTAAAAACACAACAGTTAAAATATATAAAAAAAAACATATCTGGCGTTTTAACATTACTACACTAGCTGGTTCCCGCGACTTTGAAAAGCGCTGCCTTAGTGGGTTCGATTCCCGGATTGTGCAAATAACCGTGTGAGTATGAAAAAAACCTATTATTTAGACATTACAAACAGAATTTCATTTATTTCATTACTATACTTACTATTCAGAGCAATTATGTACATACATACCTTCATTTCCGTGCAAATACTTATCTTCACTTCGTTGGATTCGATCCCTCACTCCATTACAGCCATTAGGCAGTCTACATGAAGAATAACCAGACCGTCCGTTCAACCTACAAATTTGTCTAACACAATACAAAGAGCTGTTTTGAAAATATTTTTTAAAACAATCTGTAAAACAAGGAAAATGAATGAAAATTCATATTTCTTTGTTAAATGGCTCCTTTGTTGAATCGTTTGTATAATCAACATCTTTATTACAAAAATAGATTCAAGATTTTCCTTTTCGCACTTGTGTATGTGTATTCGCATTTTGTATGTCTGCATATGCCCACCAATTTATGTTGACACCCCCTACCTCTTGAGTCTTTGAAAATTTGGAAGGACTGAGGGCATTTTAAAGGAGTTGCAAGGATCTTTGATAAGTGGTAGGTGTTTGGGTTGCAATGTTTGACAAGAGGGTGTTAAGGTGATGGTTCATTTGCGCAGGTCTGATCTTAACCCGTTTTGTTAAATTTTTAAAGTAGATTTGGTTTAATTCAACCAAATTTGGATACTTCTTTCCTATTCTAAACATATGCTTCTCATAGCATGTTGCTGTATACATGTTCATTGTGCTATAGAAAGTAATATTAAAACATCTAATTACTTGTTATTTGCCCTCAATGATGCTCTAAATAATGAGGTTTTATTTCGATAATTAAGTGGGGTGATAAGTAGTAGATGGGGGTCCAACCGGACACTTTCGGATCGCTTTATGTATTTAATAGGTGTAGTGTAAAAATTTCGTAGGATACAAGATTTAAAACATTTTAAATATTCAAGTTGTCTTAATAAGGAAGCATAAAGTTTTCAGTCCATAGCTGAATCTGTAAATAAATGTTAATTACCAACCCAGATATAAATAGGTCTCAAATAATAACTTTATTTTCATTAGTGTAATTAAATATTTCCAATACACGTAGAAGTAACAGACGTTTGTGTTACTGCATGTTAATGCAATATTCGCACAAATCAATTGTCATCCTTATTCACACACATGCGTATAGAGTGCGCCGCGCGCGCGACCTTGGGGCCGCCGGGGTCGCTGCCCAGCCACCAAGGGCGACGCGCGACGTGCACACACAATGTTTATGTAATGCACCAACACACCGTTAGAATTCTGCGTAAATGAAACGCCTGCTTCATAAGGAATGGATTTGGATGCGACGACTTCATATACATGTATAGAAATAGCCAATATAGAATGGTTCCAGTCCATGTTTGTGCGTATTTTTATAGTCAAAACGGGTTTGTTCTCTAGATTTTTCATTAAAAAAAGATCTATTACGTCATATTTAGCCATTGCCAGATCATTTACTTTTAATGGAAACACAACATTATTTATTTCGTTTTATGTCAGTCAGTGTCAGTGTTAATTTTATACATATTTAATAAACTACCCGATTGCGTAGACATATGTGTAAATTAAATTGTACATACTTTACAGTGTTGAAGGGTATTTCACTCACCCTTCCAGACACACGGGATTGTATAATATCCTGGAATGTTGGAAAACAGGGAGTATTTGTAAGTGAATTTCTGAACCTTTGTGGAATCCTTAGCTTGGCTCCGTGGTATGAAATCTTATTCTTGTCGAGAGTTTAGTCCCCATACCTCTTTAGGACAGTCCTGCTGATGTTATTAGTTAACTACTACTATTACTAAAAGGAATGAAGAATAACAGTTAATAAAATTTATCAAGACTTAGTCATATTGAAATCGCTTAGAGTTTTCAAAACAGTAATTATGTACTTATAATACCAGATTAAGCTATCTATTAAATTAGGTTTCTTGACGTTTTTCTTACTAAGTAATTAATTCGTATAACAAGTAAACGAGTGACTAAGTATTCAGGTATGCATATTTATTCGTTTTGTTATACAATAGTCACGTCATACTACATGTTTTAAATTATTGTACATAATTAACATGCTTGTGAATTTTTATAAAGCTGGTACATTTAAGATACATACACAGATTTAATCGAAAATATTCAAGTTACTTGCTGCCTCGGTTCACCGTAACGTAAACTTGTATAGTCACACCCTTCTGTTGAAAAGTTTTAGGCTTCTTGTGCATTGGCGGCGAGCGCGTTGCGAAGCGCGCTCGCTTCCGGGGAGCAGAGGGAACATGGGGTTCCCACACGGGGGGGGGGGGGGGGTCGTCTGCTCCTCTGTAGATGGCCCGAGGTATGTCGGGGCACCAGGGACTTCCTTTCTAGGGTATACCTGGTTCTCCGGCTATTAGTACCCGAGGCGGCGTGCGGTTTTAGTCGGTTCGAGTCCGACATGCCACCGATGGTACATGCCACAGGTGGTATCCGAGGGGATTTCCGCACGGGAAAAAAAAAAAAAAAAAAAGAAGGCTTCTTGTGCATTAACCACATGGAAAACATCGTAACGCTAATTGTTGTTATTGTAAACGTTATATATTATATATATATTATTTATTGTACTCAATAGAAGTCCCAGAGCCAGAAATGAATGGGGAAGGGCTCGAAAGGCCAGAAATGGGGGGGGCGAAGAGCTCGAAAGGCCAGAAATGAGGAGACGAAAGGCTCGAAAGGCCAGAAATGGGAGGGAGGCAGGGGCATTTGTGACTCTTGAGGTGTCCATGGGTGGCGGTAGTCACTTGCCATCACATCTCAGCTAAAGTAAAACAAAAAATAGGGACATCGATGTACTCGTATTTAAATTAAGTTAACCTTTTAAAAAGAAACTATTATTGTTAAGATGAGATATACGTATAAGGATTTTTGATATTTATTGTAGAATTTTAAGTTATTTTATGTTAGAAAATGTTTGTTTAATTTATTTATTTTTTAAGTTGAGGGAAGCCTTACGCTCCCAACTATCTTTTACTATTACACTTTCTCTAGTAACCTGTAATTAAGGCAGCACCACTTCTTGTATACCAATGTCTTTGTGTTTAAGGTGTCCGTCCTGTATGGTTCTGAAAGTTGGCCCATTAAGAGAACGGATGAGAGACGCCTGAACGTAGCCGAAATGCGAATGCTGAGATGGATGTGTTTTGTGACTCAGATGGACAAGGTTAGGAATGAGTATATACGAGGGAGTCTGAAAGTAGCGACACTGGATGAAAAGTTAAGAGTGAAAAAGGTTGTCTTGGTATGGACATGTCATGCGGAGGGATGAGGAAAATGTGGCGAAGAAAGTTTTAGGTATGGCTGTTGAAGGGTACAAGAGAAGAGGCAGACCGAAGAAAAGGTGGATGGACTGCGTGAGGGAGGATATGGCTAGGAAGGGAGTAAACAGTCAGATGACGCATGACAGAGTAGAATGGAAAAATCATACATACTGCGCCGACCGCAAATAAAATTGGGAAAAGGGTAGACAGATGATGATCTTTTTGGTAGTCCGAATAAATAAAATAAATCCAAATAAAAATACTGTTCTCAACTCCTCCTTGTCTCTAAAATACATCTAAAATGGTGGTCATGACGTCATGTTATGTATGTATGTACTCGTATGATTGGATAAGCACCTACCGAATTCAATGAGGAAAATCTTTTATTTTGATGGTTTTATTGTGGCCAGTTTGTTGTGGTATTTAGTTTATATTCGTAAATTAACATTAACCTAACGCTAACTAATGAGGAAATCATGCATATGGGTGTATCTTTATTGGATTTCGACTATGTTTTGTAAAAAAAATAAGGTTTTAATTTTACTTACTTAATTGTAAAATAAAGGCAATGAAATTTACCGCTAAAACTAAAACACTTGATATGATTTCGTTTGACATCGTTGACATATCAACTGACAGTGTTCCATACAGTAGCTATATACTTTAAAGACTGATAGCTGTCAGCTTAATTATAGATTAATGACGTAACCGATATTATAAATTTGAAACCACGTGATTTAAGTTACTATTTAAATTATCATTATACTTAAAAATGCAGTTCATAATGTTAAACACATAAATATTAACATACATTTGTGATCATTGTCAACATAACACAATCTATAACATCATCAACAGCCTTTACTTGTCCACTGTTGGACATATGCCTCTCCTCAGAAAGGAGGTTTTGGTCTACCATACCACGCTGGCCAGACGGGTTTGTATAGGGTTTGTTTCAAATTTTCCTTCTCGTTGCAGTGTTGTTGTTCGGCGTAGTTTACTCCCTTAGTCGGTTCTTACGACACCCTCGGGATGAATAGGGGTGGTGACACTCTATATTCTTAATCCGTCACCACACGGAAATCTATAACAAATTTATAAATATTTATATTTTTAAAATGTGAACATTACTGTACATATTGTAACTCAAACATAATACTGTTTTCTATTTTTAATTTGTTCTCATAACACAAGGTACAAGTACTGGTACTGCTAAAGTTACCGTTGCGCTGCATAATCTGTGGCACTCCATTTAGTACTTACGATTAAATAACGATAAATAACCCATTATAACGATTTACATATACCCATACCTTACGTTTTAGTTATTTATATCAGCTTTTGCCCGCAGCTCCGCCCGCCCAAAATATGTCGGTTATTGCGCTAAAAAGTAGCATATCCTTTATCAAGAGATATCCATACAAAATTTCATCTGAACTTAATTCCACCGCCTTTTCATCCTCTTAAAAGATGATTTCTGAAATAAAGACTAATCCTATGACCTTTCCCAGGACTCAAACTATCTCTATACCAAATTTCATCTAATTCGGTTGAGCGGTTTAAGCGTAAAGAGGTAACAGACAGACAGACAGATACACACTTTCGCATTCATAATAATTGTATGATTTGCTTGCAACAAAGGTAATTTAAAGTCAACCATTATAGACCTGTATTTTGCCTTGTAGATAATTTTCGTTTCTAAGATTCATGTGATGGATAAAGTCATAAGACAAAAAGAACACAGTCATTCTTCACAATCCAAGGTAATCTACAGATTAAAAATGAACTATGTAATTAAAAAAGCCTACGTTTATAAAGTGTATAACTTTACTACTTCATTAAGTAGGTACTTAATTGTCTTTGTAAAAAATATAAATAAAATTAAGTTGTCTTTGTAAAAAATATAAATAAAATCTAATGTGTCAACTGCCGCACTAGAAACAAATACTGTGTCGCGGGAGACTATACAAACATACATAAAACGGACACAAAAAAACACCCAGATTCAGAACAACAATTTGTGGATCACACAAAGTTTTGCCCCATGTGGGGATCGTACCCACAACACTCAGCGCAGTAGGAAGCAGCGAGATAACCGCTTGAACCACTATGCCATCCGTGCACTCTTTTGCAATAAGATGCATTGCCTTTAGCTTTCAATGTCGTATTTAAAGTATAAAACATGTTTAATATTGTTACAATTATTTTGTTTCCTAAGGATTAGGAACTCCTGCTTAATCTCGTCCATTTTGACCGTAATTTTACCTCCATATCCTCAAATTAGTTATCACTCCTGAAGCTGGTCATATGTGTTTAAATTATCACGCAATCAAGGCCTTTGTGACCGAAGTACCTTCCATGTTGGCAAATTATCCGTTCCATTTAAGAAGCGTATTTGCTACGCCGAAAATTCCTCCGTGTATTGTATATATTCACACGTTAAATAGATAATTATCACAATATAATACACTACATTACAATATTCATGAGATGGTTATATTATACAATTGACGTACTTTGTTACATAACGTACAAGTAAATATTATTTTTGCACATGTGTAAGCTGCTTAGTTTAAAACACTGTTATAAAACCGCTAAAAAATATCAAGAATTGTTGGTTTTACGCTTCTTTATAAATTTTTGTATAAATATATAATTAAAAATTATTTCAAATGATCTTTAAATGTGATAAATACATTTCTATTACTAAACTAACTCAATTATATGGCTTTCAACATATATATTATAGTTTACTCCATCACGTAATATCTTAAATATATTTTCCTTGGTAATAAATATATAAAATGTTATGGAATAACCATACCTTAGATATAACTTTTTATCTATTTCCAGCCATAAAATATTAATTGATTAAGAATAGTGTAATAGGCATTAAAATAAGAATGGCGTCAAAGAAGTATTACGTAATGATAACAATTAGGAAGTTATTGAACGCTGCTACATCACTGCCACACTCAACTTTTCAAACCGGTATGAAAGAAAACGTTAATGATAGTTTGCACCTTCATTGTAGTTTTACCATTATACTGATTAGTTCAATATTGTAGTCAA